CGAAACGAAGTCATTTAGAATGTTTTTAGAGCATAAACAGTAGTGTATAGGATTTCCTAAAAGCGCGTTCACGAGTCTAATGTCAGCAGGCAGCAAGAAGCCTCCCAGATCTCCAGATGCATTTGAGATATCAAAAAAGTACTCCAGAGTGTTGTTCAGCATGGGGGTGAGTAGAAAATGAAGGCTAATCATGTTTTGGGTGTACTATTCCTTTAAGAGGAACAGGAACACATTGGTGGAAAATTATGGAATTAGGTGACTTTTTACGTGTCCAAGGGGTCCCTGGTGCTGTTTCATTAATGCAACCTCAGAAAGTGATTAAAACAAGAGCTAGTTTAGTCTCTAAAACAGACATGGCTACAGCTTGATGCTAACATGTTTGTTAGCTGTCAGAATTCAGTCACAATTGAGAAAAATAGGTCAGAATTCTGACTTTTTCCCCATATAAAACTGAAATAATATTTAAAAATCAGTTAACTTTTTAATTTTTTCAGTGGCCCTAATCCTCTTCCGTAGTATCGGGGCGTGAAAGTGAAGTAAATTAGAAACTTGTAAAAGCTCTTCTCCTGCATGCAGTTAAGTTTGTAGCCTCCTCTACACCCAAACATTTCCAAATTTACTGCGGCAGGCAGGGTTTCGTGGGAGATACCATATCGGGATGCTTTATGGGGGGGGCACGGAGAAAAAAAGAGGCGATATTCGACATAAAAAATGTCGTTTTGATTCTTATTATATTAATGAATATAACTTAATTAACTTAGCACCTGATGTGATGTAAAATGTCCCTTTACTTTTAATGAAAACAAACAAAGTGGCTCCGTCCTCCCCCCACCTCTTTTCCCGCTCCCTCTCCCATGTATTCGGATGCAGAGCTCCAGATCAGAGCGGGGCAGCGGAACGCAGCGGAGGGACGGACAAGGTTTCCCAAAACTAATAAAACAGCCTGCCAAACGGTGGAATTTCGACCCCTTTTCTCTGAAATAAAAGAATTGTTTGGATATACCGTTTTGAAAGGAATAAGTTCTTCTCGTCGTGTAAAGGTGAGTTGTGTTTCTCTTCGTACTTTTTAACGTTTTTGAGTTCGGACTGTGGGACTTTTACTGCCGTTATTAGGCAGTTATTGCTCAGCCATCCTCTCTCTGCGGGTTAAAGTTAATAAACGGACTATCCGGTCATTTTAAACCTTCTCACTTTAGGCTTATTGACGCCTATAAGATATGCAGTGTACAGTGATTTATTTGCTTTGCTCTTGTCCAACGATTAGACCCAATCTTCTCACTAGAAGCTGCCATGCATACCTCTGGTGACATCATCATAAGCAGTTTATCACATTTATTTTCTCTTTTATATTTTCTTATTGACTATATACTGTCAATATCAGAGTATTAGCTCTGTGAGGACAGACTGCATGCTGTGTAATAGAGCTGGTAAACATTTTTACGGTGATATAAACGTAAAATACGTTAATCTATGCTCCTTATATGTTCTAGAATCTGTCTGAAAAATCTGCTCCTGTGTTACTAATGGCTGCTCATAAATTCAATCCTTGCTTTTATTGTGATGTTATAGATACCAGTAAAGTGAAAAAAAAGGAAAATATGATATTTTGTCCTTTTTAAGATAAACTTTTTCTTCTTTTCTTTTCCTGCGGTGGAAATCCAGCCCATATATTTGTCAATAAACATAGAATATAGGATTAGAATAATATATAACTTATTAAATCTTTTTCGAACAACAAAAATATAATAAAATAGTCTTATACATTTTTCTGTGGCCCAAATTTGTGTGACCATTTTTTTCTATAATCTTTTTACTGCAGTAAACACCAGAATTTCTCCATTGTGGGAAGATTTTCTATTCTATTCTAATTTATTCTATTCTAATTTATTCTATTCTAAACAAATAGAATAATGAAACCTATCAGCTTCTTTTTCCCACTTATGCTCACAGCAAAGTGGTTTATATTTGCAAAGTTCAAGCCTTACACTCCTCTGGCTTTAAAGTTATCTATAAAACAAATAAAAAAAACAGAACAGATTATCCATAAAAATGTCCCCCACAAGGAGGTGGTTGTCGCTTAGTTAGTCTCTTAATCCATCTTTATTATACAGTACAAGATAAATGGTTTTAAAGTTGATACAGACGTGTAATTACCACAGTGTGTATATCAGAGCTTAAAAAGAAAGAAAACTTTAGCCTCTCCTTAGAATGAGGTGAATTCTAGTTTGTTAGTTTAGTGGAAATTAGATTTCCCATCTGAGGAATGTAAAAAATGCCCCCTCTGTTTAATATTAGACTGGAAAGCAGTAGAGAGCAAACAGGTTTGCTTCTAGTTTATTTGTAGCTGTATACGGGGTTCTGGTTCATCAGTCTGGTATGCATTGTTTCAACTTGGAGGTTGCATTGCCTCTGTTCCAGAGAACCTCGGGAGCATGTGTCGCCTGCAGGCATTTTACTCTGACAGCCAAAATCATGTCCTCTGGCTTCTTGTTTTAGCTGATTTTGTAGGAATGTTAGTAAAACAGATCAGTCCAACAGAGCACAGATGTAGCTTGGTAATAGTTTAAGTTCTTCAAACTGGATATTTAGCTTTTTAACCTGTTGATATTCTACAAACTACTCATGCAGGCTCCATTCAAGCTGCTAGGAGAGAAGGAAGGAAAGCTAGATGATCTGTAGGTTCAGGTTGTACAAAAAAATAGATAAAATGAAGTTTCGAGGGAAGTGATGAAGCAGGTGTCGTCTACACAGGAAGAACCAGCCTGTAGTAGGAAACACAAGGGAAATATGTGGACATAAAAATGCTTTGTGTGTGTGTGTGTGTGTGTGTGTGTGTGTGTGTGTGTGTGTGTGTGTGTCCTGACTCATTCAGATGAGTGTGTTGGAATGTCAGTGGGGAAGTCCATAATTGCAGGAGGAAGACCCTCTCTCCACCATTTGCATGAACAGTCAGGGGTTTCTCTTCAAACTTTCTGACATTGATGCTGTTTTCATAACATCCGGTAGCAATGTTTTGTTTTTCTGACCCCAATCTGTAATTATTAAGGTTGTTTTTTAACATTTCAGTAACATCAAAACATGTTTTATACCTGAGCATAAGAAAGGACGTAACCTCCTGTGTGATAATTACATCTAAAGTGACGTAAACATTCAAGTTAAAACATAACTGTTTGTTACTAATGTTAGCTTTTAAATAAATTGTTTCATACTCATAGTTATTATCCTCATTTTGAATTATGGACTTAAGCAAAAGCCTCTAGGGTTTTTTTTTCTCTTTGGTCATATGATTTCTCACCATTTTATGTTCATTAATAAAATAAGTTGTGTGTTTATGCTATTGTATGTCATTTGTTTTTGCTATGGTTCATTATTTCCATAAGTCATCTTAATAAACACATATAAAGGTACAAATAGTTTAATTTCTGTTATGCAGTCCTGAAACCACGTATTACCTTCTTTCCATTTGTTTTGATCTCCAGTTTTGGCTACTTAATTCTTGATCCTGACCCTGATTAAACTTTCTGGCAGATGTTTATGTTTATACAAATGGTATTACTGCGTTTTTTTTTATTGTAGACCTTGAGCGAGTTAGAGAAAATGACATCATTGTCACCACCGAATGATTCTGTTAGAAATATCTAACATCTAATGTCTTAATCAGCTATTTTACCCTTGATTGGGAATAATTCCTTCACTTTCTGTTGGACTGAAAATATTTGAGGTATACGTGTTTGATTTTATAAAGATTTGGAATTGGTCACAATCAGGGAGCAGCAACAGGTCAGGGGGGAGATTTCTGGATTACTGTACGCTCATAGAAACGGTGAAAGCTGCAGTTAGTCCTGAATAAAAGATAAACTAGAGATAATTCTTTCGTTTTTTTTTCTGATTTAAGCTTGGAAGGTTCTTTTATCAGAGTATTTTGTCCAGGACTTAAAGACTTTTTCTCCCAGTATTCCCTCAGCTTGTTTAGTAGATTAGACGAAGGAGAAACTGTGTTTATATTGTCAGGACAAAGTGACCGATAGATAAAGACATCCCGACTCCATGGGGAAAAAAACAGGAGTAATGTTGCTATTAACATATTAAAAACTGCAGTGCTGTATCAGTGCTGTATGCTTTAGTATTCACACCTTACATCTCAGGGTGAATATGTGTTCTGACTGTGGTTATAGCGGCTTAGTTTCTGAGCCTTGCTGCTGGGGGGGAAACATCAGGGCTGGATGTTTTTACTTTAACTGCAGAGATGCTTGGTGACTCCTCACATCCATCGCAGGTTTCACAGAGGAGATGAAGGGGAAAATGGGTCGGCTCTTCCTGCATTTGTCTTCTTTTGTCCCTGCTCCCCCCCCCTGCTCAGGGTGATGTGTTTTCAAGGAAGTGGACCAAAGGAATCCAACCTGCAGGCATTCTCCTGAGGATGTTATCAATGGATTTCACAGCCGTCTCACTGCAGCTCTTAGCATTTCCTCCAGGATATTTTGTTTGCTTCGGCTGAATTGTTTGGAGGATTATGTGTTGGTGAGAGACGGCACCACATTTAGGTCAAACACTGGACACAGTATATGCTTTGCTTTTTTCTTTTCTTTTTTTTTGCAGCGCTTTGGGGCTGAATTATTTCATATGTGCATGGTTATCCTGCGTACCATTTTAAATAACAATTAGCAAGATAACTAGATCCTCAGATGTGAAAGTTGAAACAAAACAAGACCTATCAGATCTGATCACCTGCTCCAACAGTTTTCATTCAGCCACAACAAAGTTTTCAAATAAATAGAAAAATAAAAACAAAGAAAAAAACTGCGGTTTGCTGTAATTGCCTGACATTTTTCCTCCTTACCCCCTTCTTTAAGGGCGCTTGCACTATTTCGAGCCTACGTAATGGCTGGTTTGACGTTTTTGTGGTGTGTTGCATTGCGACTGCTAGTTTTGTGAGGTTACTCATGCTGAGTCCAAGCCTGAATGCTGGGCGGGGAGTGAAGGGAGCGACTGCTGACTCTGTTCAAACATGTCTGGCAGCGCTGGCAGCTTGAGGTATGCCCGGCTGTGTGTGTGTGTGTGTGTGTGTGTGTCTAAGTCTTTGCTCTTAGCCACATGGATGCCAGATGCTGTACTTGTTAAAGTATTTTTTCTAAAAAGGTATGTGAGCTTCAGTCAGACCGCACTGAGAGCTCGTATGTTCACCCTACAGGTAGCTGTGATTTTCTATAAAGAGCAGAGCTCATACGGATCCCATTTAGCCATTGAGTATGTGGCAATTAGTCGAATCCTCTTTCAAAGTGTTCTGGAGGGAGAAATTGCTGAATAGCGGCAGAAACTGGAACATTTCTTGTTCTTTTTTGAATTGTTGTCCCACAAAATAGTTTTCTTTAATTAAAATCATGTTAGAATAGACATTTGTTGTCACTTAATTGGTTTCTGCAGTGATTAGTTTATAATCCCTATGCTCTGTTAATTGCTTCTGTGTTATTTTGATTTGTTTGGTGCATGTTTTTATGTGTGCAATGAAGCATGTTAATAGAACTGAACCGCATTCACATTGGACTAACCGGAGCGCTTACTTTGTTGTTTCTTTATTTACATGTGCGAAAGTTTCCACCTCGCAATGAATTTAAACGAGACGTTTCATGAGGGGCGGTTATGGCGCTAAACAGCTGGGAGGCTTCTTCTCTTTTTCCTAATAGAAAACATGAACTACATTTAAAAAGTTTGGTAAATTCGTTTTGTTTTGGTTGAAGGACTTTTATTGGAGGTCTACATCTTCACTGAACTTACATTCGTCATTTTCACCAATCAAGAGTTTTGTGGCCAAACTCGTTGCTATAAATCAGGAAGACATATAAAGTCAGGGTAAGAAATTAGTTTAACTATTCCGAAGTCTAAACATTATTAGTGACTTATTTAACAGTTTAACAACAGCCACAATGCATATCTCAGTGGACACATATAGATAACATAGCATTGAATGAATTAAGGATGCTTAATTGATGTTAACTAATTTGAAATTGTACCTTAAAGTAAAGGTACACAGACTCTACAA